TATTGGGTAAACTCGGCTAGACAATGAAAGCTACGCATGGAGAAATCTCTCCATTCGTTGTCGAACATCCCGCGGTAAGGCTTGACGAACGAGTAAGTTAATGAGGCTTTTGGTTTCGATGATCACCCTCTCCAACGGTCGCACTGTCACAGCAATGATTGAGTCGTATATTCGGTTAAAAATGGGAAAATGAAGCCTTGCTTATCAGGGCACAATGAAGTTGCATTTGTCAATCCTTTTCAGTTGCTTTGTCTACCAGTTCAATGTTCCATGATTTTATAAATGTACGACCTCAAAATAGAACATTATTTAACGTCCTTGAAGCAGATCTCCAAGCCTTCTAGTAACCTTTGCTGATGGCTGCTCAACTAATTATGAAAGATGTTCCTTTCAGTTTTGGCAGAACGTTCTTTTCTGACCTGCGTTTTGAGGGCGCAGGAAAGGGGCGATTAGAAGGCAAGCGTATATTGGTTAAATAAAGAACACCGTGGCCACTTACCGAAAGTAAATTCGTGAAAAGTAAACAGAAACACAATGTTGCTCTGCCTAGATCTAAAATGTGGCAGATTCTGATATGTAGGCAAATGTATAGTTGAGTTATGACCTCAATTGCAATTCTAATAATAACATTTGTCGTTCGGCCTCTAAAATATCGCATTAAAAGTGAAAATGCACGATGTTTAGGGGACCGCGTAAACCACATCCGATATACGCTACTGTTTTTGCAAATGCGATAGTAGTTTTTCTCGCTTAACTGATGCAACTTATCTAAGAATGCGACATTGAAAAATGTTAACAAGAAAAAAATACCTCAAAGTTATCTCAAGAACTAGATTTGTTTTTTTTCGATGTTCAAAGTACTCTCGTAAATTGTTTATTCAGCACCAATGGCCTAAGTTTTCGGAGTAAGCTTAATACTTGATAAACTGAGGGTGAGAAACCCTCATGACCTGATGACTCTGGACGGTTTATTGGTGTACATCTAATATAACTAGCCCTTCCTTTGTTGCTGTTTCTTATCTCTGACGATGGATTCCTGTAGGAGTTCGAAAGCTCAGAATAATAAACAACGTGATCCGATGCTCGACCCTTCTTTTTCCTCACCGATATATTAATTTAATTTGAAAATGTACGATGTAGCATAAACATCTGTCATCCTCACCTGAGTGGCCCTTTTTGGATAAACAATTTGTGATGATGAGCAGGACATTATATTTGGACCCCGAATATTTGCGCATATTAATATATACAGCATGGCGAGTCCTGCAAGCAACTTGCCTAAGTTTTTAAATGCTTGATTATTGCTCTCATACCGACAAGAACGGATTTACGAAGACCTAGAAGTAATAATGAGCGGCATAAGACACGTTAAGTATTCAAAAGAACTATAAGAAGGACTAAGTGTTTGTTAAGAAAAATAATGTTTTCTCGATAATTTGCAGGTTCTGGACACGTCAGAAATAGCTATAAATTAGAACAATAAATTTAAATATTTTAAGTTTAAAACTTAAGGCAACCACTTTCTTTATATAAAAAGAAGTTGCCTTCAGTCAAAATGTTTTGTACATAGGGTAATTAGTGAAAAACTATTTCTTGAATATCGTGGAATAAAGTCTCTCATCATTTCACTTCTTTTCAGTGTATTCATTGATAAGCTGATAACTTGCGCTTCTGTTCGATGTTGACATCAAAACCTGTAAAATAATAAAAAACAAAACAGTATTTACCGAAAAAACAAGCTCTAGTATATAAGTTCTAATAAAGATGGCCATGTAAATCATATGTGGAAATGCTTTAAAACAGCAAACCCATTGTCGAGCATACGAAATGTCTGCTAGATACCACGCATATTGTCATTCCTAAGGTTAATAAAAAAACTTCCATAATAGGTTACCTCTTTAAAAAGTGCTCTTACTGGATATTTAGCTGAAGAACTTCCGTGTATATTATCTTGTTCCAAAGCAAGGTCACAGTGAAATTGGAGACTTTTGACAATTTCTTTAATTTACATAAAGACAAAATGAAATTTGACTGGGGATGAAAAAAACATACATTCCGTTTTATAAAGGATTATTTTGACGATCCGTAATAAGCTTGCGAATGCAAAAACAGGCCATATATGACTATTTTTTGAAATATTTATAATTCTTCTGACGGTTCCGTTTCTAAATAACGCTTGGGCAGAAAGTATTGTTTACAAAAAAACTATATTTCTACATGAATTACATTCAATAAGGCCTTCTATAGATTGACTTCGCGGTAACGTATAGACATATTGCTCACGCGCAAGGCTAGCTGTGCGGTAAAAGAGAATTTTCTACCAAAAACTTTTTGTTACCGCATTTTGTGCAAAAAGAACTTCACAGAATAGCTAAATATAATTTTGAAAACTTAATTTCATTTTTTTGGCGATTTCTTAAACTTGGCTTCACTTCCATTTGATCAACTTCGCACAGAATTTTCCCGTTCTGGAAGGGATTAATATTCCACTTTTTTTTTACTTATTATGGAATTCTTCCATATCACAATGTATATTAGAAAAAAGTTTCCTTCTGCCTTTCCTTATAGCATAGGAAATTTCTTTAATATAAACTTATGATTTAGCCAAAATGAGTGCCTATTTCCCCCAATAACTTTAACTGAGAGGGCAGTTTTCCAAACTAAAGACTTTCAAGTTATTAAATCCACTCAGTTGATCAAAATAACCTCTCCAACTATATGCTCAACTACCAAATTAAATTTCGTCATGAAAGTTGTTTGCAGGACTTGCCATACTGTATATATCGCGCTTTGGTAGTATATTGCACACAGTAAATAAGCATCCCCAAGCTGTACGCTAACAAATGAAGAAAAATGTAATTTGCAACAAAGGAACAACGAGATGCTTATGTCACTACGTGTTCATTGTTGTGACGATACCATACGCGTAGTTCAACATGTTCCCAAATGCCAATGACTCTAACTAAAACCCATATTTACAGCAATTATGAACCAAATTTATCCGTACAATTAAAAACAGAAACCAAAAGGTTTAGTTGCCTTGTATTACCGAGCATTCAGTCTTGCTGACCAGATTCATGCTCAGAACTGCACTCACAAACTTAATACTAATGCTACCCAATGCTTTCGAATCTTTCAAGATCTGAAACTTGAAGGTATAAGAATGTCAGATGACCCAGTTAGTAAGGATCAAACACACTAACTACCGTCGTAAAATAGTTCCGGAAATGGCTCTAAACTCCAACCTGGAGGCAAGAGGCAGCTTTAGCAAACTTCCCAAATTTATACAAGACTAAAATACATGCTTCGTCTGAACACCAAGTCGAGGAAGGACCTCGATATAGCGCGCGTTTAAAAGCAATGATTATTTTGCGAGACATGCTACCGCGTTGCTAAACGCGCAATTTTTTCCAAATTTTCCTCGACATCCGTACAACAACTGTTTACGTGAAATCCACTTACATCAGTCAGTGTACATCGCCGTCTTCCGGCAGAAT